CCCCTCTGGTCTGCCGCTAGCCAGGCTGGTCGGAAAGTCAGAGGCGAAGGAAAGCAAGCAGTGGCGGCCCGGGGTGAGCTGGAGAAGGGCGCGAAGCAGGAAGAAAGAGCCGCCCAGGAAGAGCCCGTTCAGCAGCGAAGAGGGACCCCGCGCCAAACCCGGTTCTGCGGCCGCGCCTCTGCCTCCTTGGCGCCTCCAACCCGGGTAGGAGGAGCCACAGCGCCACCCAGCGGTCGGTGTCGCGGAACCGCGCTCGGGGCTTTTCGTGTGTAAAACAGGGCCTCGGGTCAGAGCCTGGAGGAAAGCCAGGGTGAAGATGGGGCAGGCAGTGGTTGATGGGCCCTTAAATTAGAGGCTCCCTCATTCATTTCACCCGCCAAACCATGTGGCACACGGACGGTACTAGATGACTTCTACCGCGGGAGAGCTGACAGCATTCCTCTCAAGCTCACCAATCTCCCTTAGCTCCCAATGGGTCACTGTATAGCCCAAATACCCTGTTGTGACCCTCAAAGCTGTTCATGCTTTGACTTCAGACAATCTTTCAAGCTCATCTCTGATCTCACTTTCTAAACCCTAAAACTGCACTCTCCTGTCTAAATGTGCACTTACCATCTCCATACCTGCTTCTATTCAGTCAGTGGACACTGACCAAGGCACTGACGGGCAAGGTCCTTGCCTACTCAGCCTACATTGAAATGGAGAGAACGGCGATGAACAAGAAAGCCAATGTGAAAGCGAGGTTATTTTAGCAGGGCGGTATGCTACAGTGTCTGGGTTGAGAAGGGCACTGTTATACCTACAGTAGTCCAGAAAGGGCTTTCTGAGAAAGTGATGCGTGACACGTCAGCCTTGCAAACACCTGGGAGGAAGAACATTTTGGACTGAGGAGAGGCATGTTCAAAGGTCTTGAGAAAAGAGCAAGCTCAGCATAGCAGAGGGAAAGAAGGCAGGTTGGCTGGAGGCAAGCGCAGGAAGTACACCGGTGAGGCCAGAGAGGAAGGCAAGTCCCAAGATGTGTAGGGGCCTGTAGGCTTTGATTTTAGTATATGTGCTGCCGAAGGGAGCACGCCTGTAGGCTTTGATAAGGCATTCAGATTTTCTTCTGATTGAGATGCAAAACTATGGGAAGGTGTCAGCAGGAGGAACATGTGATCTGGCTTGCAAGTTGAGATCATGCTGAGTGGAGTGCAAGATTGGAAGCAGGGAACCAGTTGGGAGGCCGCTGCAGTGGTCTAAGAGTGTCGATGGTGGCCAGGACTAGGTGGTGATAATGCAGGTGGGAGAAATTCTTAGATTCTACAGGTATTTTGAACAATTTCTGTTCAGTGTTCTCTTCCCAGCCAACCTAAGAGTGTCTTGAGGCAGATGACACATTTGAATGAACTTTGGATTCCCATCCTATACCCCTAAGTAATTAGCCTTATAGACAGGCGTTCGGTGTTGAGGGACTAGATCTCCGTGACCTGCCAGTAAATGTGACAGGAAGCACAAGTTCTGTGACTTCTAGTTGCTCTGATGGACACCTCCCTTTTCCCTTCTTCATCCTTCAGTGTCTCCTAAAAGAATCTAAAAATGTTTGGGAGTTGTTCTGTGCTAGCAAATTGGCTTAATACCTTCCCACATTACTTCATTGGAGTTAATTTATATAATCTTTATAACAACATCAGACCTATTCCTTCATTTTGGAGATAAACAGATTGAAAGCCCAAAAAAGAAAAGGGACTTTATGAAGTTGGGTGGGAAGGCAAAGATGTCGTAGCATAAAACATTCACATTTTGAGTCCCACATAAGCCCTTCCTCCCACTTAACACCCCAATACTGTTTATCCACATTTATTATGCTGAGGTCTTTTTTAGTCTCTTGTTCATTGTTAGTATCAAACAATGCAGTGAATCTCAGGGTGAACTTGCAGGTCTTGCAAAAGATTCAAGATTTCATGAACTCAGTGAAAGTGATGTTGGACACCATCTCTAATGCCATGTAAAGTCCTTGATAAATGGTGATTTGGCAGAGGTAGGCCAGTTACCCCTGGCAGAAGAGAAAATTGACCTGGGTAATGACAGGATCAAGACTTCAAAGAGAATGATTCAATTCTCAAAAGACTGTAAGAGGTCCTTGGGATAATTGAAGAAGCTCTCTAATTTTGGAAAAACTAAACAAAAACTCTGCTTATGCCTGTGCTGCAAAAGTCAATATTACACTCTCATGCGCTTTGGTCAGGAAAATTACATTGTCCTCCAATGTTTGATTCATTCTTTGTTTGGTCTAAGAATTAGTGTATATTTGCAACTATTCACACATTTTAAATGGAAACTAAAATATTTTTCACATTTCCAATTTCATTTCTCAAGATAAAGTCCCAAACAAACCCTTCCCCCTTTTCCCCCACTCTACGATGAAATGTTACTTCCCATTTCAAGTGGATTCGTTCTAAGTGGCCTTTTCTCAAGCACCACTTATCCTGAAATAACAAGGACTTCATGTAGCCCCGGCCTTCTCTTTATACAATGGTTGCCAAGCCTGGCCTGAGACTGTTTAGACGGAGGACTCGGCAGGGCGGTTGCGGGGTAGTACTAGCTTAGTCCAAGTCAAAGGCTAGAGCAGCTACTGCCTTCGCACATCCATTGTGCCTTTGTTCCCTTAGCACTGTGGATGAGTAGCCCCCTCTGCTTTTGTATGTAGTAGGTTAGAGACATCTGAAGTCCCTCAGTTCTCTTTACTATGTCAAAGGCACAGAGAGCCTGGCTCCCTCCCTATGGAGATGCAGTGAGAAAAAAACAGTTATAGTGAGCATATCATGGTAGCCTAACATATAATGTTGTGCTATCTTGTGGATCTGTGTCTGTGTCCTGTTGTACTGCTAGTGCCCAAATAGTGCTTGACAGATCAAGATTGCTCAATAGCTATATTTTGAACGAATAAGTTGAACCCCTTCAGGATGTAATGAGGACCATGATTAAGGCACAAAGCCTTGTCAGAATGCATGCTGGGCGTGGTGGCACACTTCTGTAATCCCTGCACTCTGGGAAGCTCAGGCAGAATTGCAAGTTGCAGCCCAGCCTGGGAAACTTAGCAATATCCTATCTCAAAATAAAAAAATAAAAAAGGTGTTGGGGATGTAGCTAGTGGTAGAGTTCCCCTGGATTCAATGCCCAGTATCAGGGGGGGAAAAAAGGGAAAAAAGCCTTGTCAAAGTACATCGGAGACAGAGACCATTTTCAGTTTGGGAGAGGGTGGAAGTCTTCACAGCAGAGGTAGAAATTGGGCTGGACTTTGAAAACTAGGTAAGCTAGTTATGGGCAGAAGAGTGAGGGCATTCCTCCCAGAAGAAACAATGTGAGCAAAGGGCAGGGGACCAGGCGCAGAGCTCATTCAGTGACTGATCAGTTTAGAAATGGGCTGGGATATGAGTGCACGAGCATCTATGGCAGAAGGTCAGACTGGTAGGATAGGATTAGAAGACAAAGGTCCTTGAATGTCTTGTTCAAAACTTTCTACCTGAGGCCAGGGATATAGCCCAGTGGCACAAGCGCCTGGCATGGCAAGCGCAAGGTCCTGAGTTTGATTCCAGGTACCAAAAAAAAGAAGTTTCTACTTGATTCTACAGGCAGTGTGGAACCATCTAATAGTTTTGATGTTCGTGTATGTGTGCGTGTGTGCACGTGCGCACACGTTTGGTGTTTTTGAGGCATGTAGTAGTATGTTTGTTTTAGAAAGATTAGCTGTGTCCTTCAGGAAACCCAACCAGGACAGCATTTCTTTTCCAACATGTGTATTGAGTGCCTCCAAGGTGTTTGGCATCGTTCTAGGCAGAGGAGGGATTGGAGCCAGACTTAATTGAACAATAGGTTAGCTGGACAATAGTTAGGCTATTGCGGTCCAGGCAAAAGCTACCGAGGGCTTGAAGTGGCTTAGTGGGAGTTAGGATGGAAAGGAGGCGGGGGCAACGGAATGAGAAAAGACCGAATGACTAATGCTAATTATTGGCATTTGAGTGGCTCCTGTGTGCCAGCTGTCTTGCCAAGTGCTTTATGTACATCATCTAATTCTCACAATAACCTTTTTGATTGATGAGGACGCTGAGGCTCAGAAAAGTAAAAGAACATGTCCAAAGTTATAGAAGGAGGAGATGGTGATGACTAGACTTCCAACTCAGCCTGGCTCTAGAGACCATGCTATTTTGCTTTGGGGGGAGTTGGGGGACTTGTGTTTTCTTGGAAAAGTGATTCAGCGGCTCAGCCTACACGTGCTCCCCTTTCTCCCACCTGTATGAAGGAAGTATAGCAGCAGAGGGCCCGCTCTGCTGCCCCTCTAGCTCTTCAAGTGGCCCTCACTCCTGTGGCGGGAAGATGAGCCTGGTGAAGATGCGGGCGTGGAGATGTATGGCCTGGTGTGGAGATAGAAGGCTGGTAGACTAGAACCAGACACTGCACCAAAGGCAGAGAACCAGCAGTCCCCAGGCCGCGCAGGGCAGACTTATTTAGACCACATGCAAGGAGGTAGGCCAGTAGGTTGGTTGGATTTTAGAGTGAAGCCATCATTCAGCAATTAGGGGATTCACATCAAAATCTTGAGCCCTGGCTTCCCTTGAAGAAAAAGAAGGTCTGGCAACCCTGAGCCTACATTCCCATGAAACTTCCCTGGGCTTGTGCTGCCCCGTGCCCACGCCCTCAGTTGTCACTGTTCATGGGTATGCCAGCACTTTTCCCCGACTCAGCCCACTTCACTGCTTAGTTATCTGCCTGAGCCGTGCAGGTAGTTGGCTTTGTGATTGCTCATCTGGAGTGATCTACTAGTTTCCTCTTTTAAGATTTAGACTGACAGGGTGCCTCGCACCAGGTCAGCATCCTCCGGCAAGGCCCCCTTCCCGAGTCATAGACTGCTGCCCAGGGCAGCAAGCTGGGCTCCGCAGAACAAAGCCAGGGAGGGAGGTCCACTTAGGGATGAATGGGAGGCTTCCCTGGGGCAGAAAGAAACGTTCAAGGGCTCAGCCAAGTCTTATCATCAAGTCTTATCATTTATTTCTTTATGGGGTTAAACAAGAGCAGAGAGGCCTCTGCCCCACAATGCGACAAAACAGAAAGCAGCACACATACAGAGACTCTCACTGAGATACAGAGGCAGGGATTAGAGGGAGAGGAGAGACAACTGAATCATAGCCAGGTGAGGGAGGAAGGGATGGGGGACTACTAGGAAACCAGCTTGGAGACTCAGTCATAGGAACTAGTGCAAGAAAGTCCTACTCATGAAGCACAGTGTAGAAAATGGCATAAGAAAGCCGCCCGGCTCTGCTGCCTGTGATGGAGGGCAGGGGCAGCTGGAGAGGTGGTGGAAGGTCAGGGTGGTGGGGTGATGGGGACAGTCATGTGACTTTGAGGTGGAGTGTGGTGCCCCTTTCCCCTGCCATTTGGCAAGGCCTTGGGCCGGTCTGAGCCAGGGGTCTCCTGGGCACTTGGTGAGGGGGAAGAGAAGATGGGAGTGTCCAAAGGTCCTGGGGCCATGTGTCCCCCTGTACTGTCCAGTTTCTTCTTCTCTCCCGAGGATGCAGGAGTTAGGAGGCAGTACCTGGGGTCTCTCTGGAGCCCAAGCACCTGCCCCTTCACTGTAACATAAGCCAGCACTTCTTCTCCTCCCTAGCAGAAAAGAGCACTCTAGGGATGGCGCCTGTGGCTGGGCCCCAAGTGCCGAGGGCCAGGCGAGTGTGTGGACAGGGCACAGGGGTGGAGGCAGGGGGACAGGTTGTGAAAAATGAGAAAACTGGCAGGGAAGGACTCCCCGGGCTCATGGAGCTGATTTGGGACTCGGCTGAGGCCCTTGAATGTTTCTTTCTGTCCCAGGGAAGCCTCCCAGTCATCCCTAAGTGGACCAAGTCCAGTTTTCCCTCCCCGTTCTCTTTTGGGGTTCACTGTCATGCAGCTCCATGGCCCCTCCCCCCAGCATGCCATCCTAGAAGGACTCAGGCCCTCCTGGCCTGTCCCACGTAGTTCTGGCTCTATTTCTTGTCAGCTTTTATTGGCTTTTAGATGTCTTAGGCAATGTGGCCTCCCCTCCCAGCACACTAGTATAAGGCTAATAGACCCCAAGGGATACTCGATGCCTCTTTCCCATCCAGCCCCCTAGCCTGACCAAAGAGTTAAGTCTCTCAGCCAAGGGACAACAGCCCATTCTCCGTAGTCAAGGGCTCGGCTTGCCAGTCTCTGGATTTTCTCTGGGAGGGGACAGCGGTGACTGGAGCAGGGGACCTGCTACAGGGTGAGGAGTCTGGTTGTTCCACAGTTGGGATAGTAACCCATGGGGTCAGGGATGGGAAGGGATAAATACTCTTTGGTAGGCTGGGGACGGTGACAGGGTAGGACTGGGGAAAGCTCATCTCTGGAGAGCTCCAGTGCAATGTCACCGGGTTCTCCTTCATGGAGGCCTGGGCTAGGACAAGGTGGGGGAGTATGAGGAGCCAGGCCGGGCCTGACCCACGTGAGCTCAGGTCCCTCTTCCCGATAGAGATCATTAATGAATGGTCTTGGGCCCCAAGGCTAAGATCTCCAGGGTAAGAGTGGCCTTTGCAAGTATGTGCACCTTCTGTAAGATATGGCCCTCAGACAGCGACAGTCCAACCATTTACCTCAGCCTTCTCTTTTTCCGCCCGGTAACTCAGCTCCTGTGCTCTTTCCCCAGAGGGCTCCTTAGACAGCTCCCTCTGATGTGGGGATCCGATCTTGAGCCTGCCTCAACACTAAGCGCTCACTTCCCCAAAGCCAGGAGGCGGTAGCCTTTCCGGCCGTCTCTCCAGGCCCTCTGTCGGAATCTCTCCTCCCGCTTCCCCATCTTCCTTCTTTTCACCACTCACATTCCAACCCCTCGGTGCCTAGGGTGGTGGGGCACAGGTTCGCTGGGCCCCACCTAGCTGCAGCTGTGCACACCTCATCTCCCAGCCTGGCACTTCACCAGTGACTGCCCCAGGTGGGGCAAGGCGCTCTGAAGTGGCAGGAGGGCCACCGCGCTGTCTGCCGTCGCCTGTAGGGATATGGGCTGGGGGGAATTAAGGATCTTGGCAACAAAAGGAATGCGGAGGGGGGAAAAGAGCTTCTCCCCTCTGGGCCCCCCAACGTTCCCTGCAGGGCCGGGCTAGGTGAGAAGCCTCTTACCCTGGGGTCACGGCTCTCAGCAGGAGTGGGCAATTCCAGCTCCCACTCCCTCGCATTTTTTGCTAGGTCCCACAGGTGGGGCTTGGGAATGGGTACCTGTGCTCCTACCTTTTTCTCCCGGATGAGTTTTGCAGCTCCCTTGGGTCCTCTGCCCATTCTGGTGGAGCTGCTTTCGGGGTAGGGGTAGGTTGGGGGATGTGAGGTCCCCTACTTTCCCCCGCCCCCCACCTGGTCCTACACCTCCCATGGGAGGAGCTCCCTCCCCCCCCTCCTGAGGGGGGGCTGGAGCTGATGTCAGCGTGTGGTGGAGGTCTGTCCTCCCTCCCTGCTGTCACTCTTCCTTTGTCAGGCCCTCTTCTAGAGCAGGCAGTGTCTCCAGCCCCAGGCCCCCACTACCCTGGTTGCTCGAGAAGGAGACCACGGTGTGGAGGAGCATGAGAACAAGGACACAGAGCCGGATCCTGCTGGGGCTGAGGCAGGAGCCCCCAGAGACTGGCAACAGGGAGGGCTTGTGGCTGACACGGCCTGGGGGGTCATGGCGGGGGTGATAGTGATGGTACTGTTGGTGGTAGTGGTGAAAATAGGAATGGTGGAATTGCTGGTGGTGGGTTTGGGGGGCCTCAGTCTCCTTCGACTTCTTCTTCTCCGCCTCACAGGAGACCCACTGCACATCACAGCACTTGGTTTCCGGCCGCTTTGGTGAAGTATCCGGCAACCCTGCCAATGGATAAGGAAGGTGTGGTGCGGTGTTCAGGGTGCTGAGGACTCTGCCTTACCTGGAGAGATTTTTCAAAGCTGGGACTGCTCAGCCCTATCTAAGACTTTTTTCCCCTTGGCCCTCAGCACCTCCCCTTTCTGAGCCCTTCTCTCCCAGGGGACCCCAGTCATGGGGATGCCTCTTTAGCTGTGTATATTCCGGGTAGAGATGGCCATTCTGGCCCTTTTTGCTATTATGTTTGGCCTTATACCAACCCGGGGACCTTGCTGCCCACTCCTCCAGCCACTGACCATCCACCCTGATTTTGCCATTGTGCTCCCTGCTTCCACTCCCCTGACATGCCGCCTGCCTTAGGTCCCCAGCCTCCTCCCTCTTCCCCAGGGCCCTTCCCTTACCTGTACAGATAAAGCCAGGGAGCCCTCCGTACACCATTTCCTCGTTGTCAGGGAGGATAAAGGGGCACCGGGTCTGCACCTCCAGGCAGTACTGCTTGCAGGGCACCCAGCGCTGGCATTCCTGCTGGGTCACGCTGAAGTATTCTGAGCACAGCCAGGCCTTGTAGACAGCCTGTGGGGAGAGAAAACACCATCAGCCCATGTGCCAGCCCTTTCCCGCCTCAGAAGACAAGGAGTGAGAGGGCATACTTGTGGCCTCCAAGGGAGGCCTCATAAACCTCACTGCAGAATCCTGACAATGAAGAGGAAGAAGGGTTTGGGTCAAGGCCACTACCTCCTACCCTAAGATCTCCCATTTCATAGTTAGGGTTCCTAGTTCCCCAGTCTACACTCATCTAAGACCTAGAATTTATTGGCAACTTCTATGTCAGAGTGCAAGGAGGCTTACTAATCATTCTACTCAGTCCTGTCATTTTATACCTGGTTCAAAGGGGTGTCTTCACTTGTCCAAGGTTACCTATATATACTGTAATGAGGCAAACTTAGTTCTCTTCAGTTTGGCAAACATTTCCTTGGCTGGTGGTGTTTGGTTTATAAATTGAAAGACATGGAGAAAATAATCCTTGTTCTACTTCATTAAGGTATCATGTGGATCAAACAATATGGCACATATGAAAATTTTTGTAAATGTTAACGAGTAATACAAATGTGAAAGGTTACTTTCAGTAAAAACAGAAATCTCTCTGCCTTACCAGGCAACATGTGCCTTTAAACTGTACTTAATCTATGCTTTGTCCTGTTGGCGTCAGTCTTGGCGTACAGCGAAAATCATGGACATTTCCTTTGCAATCCTTATTTTGCAATCTTCCTTCATGGGTATATTTCCTGTCCCTCATCTAGCTCCACCTCCCAGGCACCGCATCCTAGCTAGAAAGGTTCCCTGTGCCGTACTCTGGCTCTCATCAAGCTCAGGGGTTCTGAACAGCAATGGTACTGACATTTTGGGCCGGATAGTTCTTTGTTGTAGGAGTTGGGTCGTGTGTGCATTATACTAAGTAACATCCCTGTTCTTTACACTAAGTGCCAGTGGCATTCTCCTTTCTCCCCCATTATAATAACCAAAAGATGCCTACAGCCATTGTCAAATATCCCCTGTGGGGGCTCCAAGGCCATACGTTTGTGCACCCACCACCGTCTCTTAGCTGGTTGTGTCTCCTATGTGGTCTCCCCACCTCCACTCTTGCTCTTTCCAACCTACTGGCTGCACAGGAGTAACAGTGATGTCAAACTTCAACTGGATTACCTTCCTCCCTTGCCTCAAGCCCGGAAGTGCATTTAGACTAAAACCCCACCATGTGAGCACATAATTCAAACCTCTGCACAATTTTGCCTCTGTCTCTCTCCAGCCTCATTTTCTACTTCTCCATCAAGCTCATCATGCTTCACAGAGGTTTTCTTCTTCTCTTTTCAACACATCCTACTTCTATCTATCTTGTGGCCTTCACACATGCTGTTTTCTTGGCTTGGAATGCACCCCCCGATACACATACACTTTGGGCATATATGCGTCCTTCTCATCTTTGACGTTTAAATGTCACCTTCTCAGAGAGGAACTCCCTGACCACTGTCACCAGAGGATGTAACCCTCATTATTCTTGATTTTCCTTGTTTCTTCAACACAAGCATTACATCCTTGCTTTAGTGTCTGTCAACTCCATTAAGATATGAATGTAGGCAGACATGGGTTTGTCTTATGCATAATCAGTGCAATAGTCACGAAAAATATCTGTGGATCGAATGAACAAGATAAGTAAATTCAGACAGGCCCCTTATAGTCATAGAAGTTCCGGGTTCATAGGTAGACATATTTAACTTGCATCTGCGGCATATGATCTATACCATAGGAGAGGTCAAAGCAGGGATGATTGTTGGAGTGAAGCAAGTAGAAAAGCTGGGGAAGCTTTCAGTGAGGGGATTATAGCTGAGCCTGGATGCAAAGTAGGGTTTCATAAATAAGATGGGTAGAGATGAAGAAAAAGGGCTTTCAAGGCTGAGGCAGCAGTTTAAGCAAAGGCCAGGACATGAACGAATGCATGGTGCCCTAAGAGAACAGGGAACATGTTCATGTGAATGGAATGAAAAAGGTACCAATTTCCCCCTCATGGACGTTCATTTACAAGTTGTCACTGTGATAAACAACGCTCCACTGAATTTCATACACCTATCTCTTGTACAGGTGTCTACAATTTTGTTTATATAAATTCCTAAAGATGAAATTATTAGGATAAAAGGTGTATGCAAAGGAATGAGAGGGAGTGAAAGGAGGCTGGAGGGAAGAGGCAGGGTAAGAGAGGGCTAGAGGGCTAAAGAGAGAAGTAAGAGAAGGGTGAGAGAGTGGCTACAAGGTAAGGAGTAAATGAGCAGTGCTATGTAACACAGGGTAAGACAGAGTGCACTTTGGATGGGTAGGACTGGTACCAGTAATGATCCTGGGGGGCGGGGGTGAAAAACAGGGCTGGAGAGAAAGCAGGAGAATAAGAGCTGGAGGGTGTAAGGAATGTAAAGGGTAAGAGAATGGGAATGGGGTGAAGGTAAGAGAAGGATAAAATAGGTAAGGAGATAAAAGCATGCTGTGGTTTGGATCTGAAACGTCCTTCAAAGGCTCATGTGTTAATGGCTAGCCTGTGACAACACTGGGAAGTGGTGGAATTGTTAGGAGGTGGGGCCTAGTGGGAAAAGTTAGGTCATTGGAGGCATGTCCTTGAAGGGGATACTGTGAGCCCCGCCCCCATGTTTGCTTCCTGGAAGCCGTGAGGTGAACACGTTTCCTATACCATGTACGTTTATAGGGGCAGTGCTGGGGATTGTACCTACAGCCTCCCGTATGCTCGGCAAGCACTCTATGACTGTTCTACTCCCATAGCCCTGTACCAGGCATTTCCGCTATGACATACTCTGCCATAACAGGGCTAAAGCAAGATTGCCTTCAGCCTATAAGCATGGGCTGAAACCACAAGCCAAAATAAACCTGGCCTCCTTGTAAGTTGATTAGCTCAGGTGTTTTGTCCCATGGAAAGCTACCACAGAGCAGGAGGGGGCATAACAGGGCGTAAGAGACAGGTGAGAGGGAGCTTCCAAGAGGACAGGTAAGAAAGAGGCACTAAGAGAGATCGGGGCAAGAGAGAGTAGGAGGTGGCTAAGCAGGCATCAGGATAGATGAGGAAGATGGAAGTGTAAGAAAGCAGACATAAGAAAGAGGGATAAGAGAGCAGGAGGAGGGTGGGAGAAATGGAAGGCAGGAAAGAAAGTGAAATCACAAGGGAGAATGGCCTTGCCACCTTGAGACCCCCCCATCTCCACCTTTTGGGTCCCAGAGTGCCAAGATGCGTCCTATCCACAGTCTTGGCCTCATCTCTGCAGCTTGCACCCAGAATTCACCTCACCCTCACCCCAAACTGTGGAACTCCCACGCCCACCCCATGTCCACTGGTGGGCCTGGGGCTCAGCGGCCCTTGTGAGATTCTCCCTGGGCTCTTATAGTTTAATGTTCCTGCTCCTAAATAAGGAGGCCTCATTGGTGGTCCTGCCCTCCCCTCAGGCAGCTGCAATTAGCCCAGTAACAAGCTGGGCACTCCCTCATGTACTTCTGGAAGAAGGGAGGAAGGAGAGAGGGATGGCCTGACAGCGGCAGTGCAACCTTTCTTCTTAATTAGACGACCTCCCCAGTACCCACCCCGCCCCCAGCTAGAGTCACCATGGCAACAAGTGGGTGAGCAGATTGCCTGGGGAGGACACCAGGCCTGTGGGTGGTGAGGCAGGAACAGGCAAGGAGCTAATGAGGGGACTAGAGGAAGAAGCGCAAGTCGGGCTCAGAGGTAATCCTGTTCCTTAGCCCCGCAGCCCACCAGCCGAATCATTCCTGACCCACATGTGCAGAGGTGGTCTGGGACTCTTTTTAGATTAAAGGTCTGGTTCTCAGCGCTACCACCTGGGCAATAGCCTTAAGGCCTGTTCCTGAGCCAAGCCTAGGTAGTCTGCCCTGTCTCAACAGAATGTGGCCTGAGCCAAGAGGGGTTGGGCACTCATCTACGAGGGTTGGGAAGGGCCAGGCTTAGGAAGGCTGTGGACCTTGCTGGAGCTGGGCATGCGGGGAAAAAGAAGAAACGTCTCAGAACTAGATAAGAGTCAGTTGGGAGACTTGTGGAGCTCTTTCACTGTCCAGGTTCTCAACTATGGCTGCATATTACAACCACTCAGAGAGCTTTTAAAAAATATCTTGCCTAGCTGGGTGTGGTGGCGCATGCCTGGAATCCCAGCACTGGAGAGGCTGAGGCAGGATTGCCATGAGTTCGAGGACAGCCCAGGCTACATAGTGAGTTCAAGGCCAGCCTGAACTACATAGCGAGACCCTGTCTCCAAAACAAAAACAAAACAAAACTATCTATATATTCATTTCTGCCTGGCTCACATCACACCCTAGACCAACAAAGTCAGAATCCTTTCGAGTGAGGCCCACACCCCACACATTTGTAGTTTTGCAAAACACCTCAGGCAAACAGTATTGAGAACCATCAGTTTAGTCCCACTTTATCATTTTCTGCATGGGAAAACTGAGGTCCACGACGGGGAAAGGACTCATCTACAGCCACATCAAACAGTGGCAAAGGAATTCCCAATTCTTCCTACTAAACAATCCTACCGGTGACTGAATTCTAAACTAAAGGAGCAGCCTTGCTCTGAGGTTTCAAGTGTTTCAAACTCTAGCCCTGCTAGAAAAGCCTTCTCCATCATGTCCGGTCCTCTGAGTTGGATCATCTTAGACCCTTGAGGTAGCAGTGCGGGACTGGTGGGGTGGGCAGCCTTCTGACAGTGCCCTCCTTTCCCCACCTCAGGCCACCGCTGGGCTCAATCAAGTTCAGGCTGCTACAGCCCAGTTGCTATGGGAACTGGGAGGGGAAGGAAGCAGTGAATAACTAGAGGGAACACCAATTAACCCAAAAAGGAAGCTGGAAGGCTGTTCCAGTCTTCCTCCTGGCTGGGCAGAGGTACTGAAACAGTAGTGGCAAGATAAAGGGGATTCCCACCCCTCCTGGGCTCTGGCACTTGCCAGTTTAGGGAGGAGTGGGAGGACCTGGGCAGCCTCACCCTCTAGCTCCCTGGCTTGCAGCCCTG